TATTTAAATATACCTTCCTCAAGAAACCAGAGGCCTTTCTCCTGGGCATGGTCGGCCAATTGGTGCCAAAGAAGGACAGAATTTTTTTTTATGTACGCTACAACAGCAGCAAGAATACTCATCACAAAGTATTGGAAGACAGAAGATTTACCCACTCTGGAAGAATGGCAGATGAAGGTGATTGATTACATGGAATTGGCAGAAATGACTGGCAGAATCCGAGACCAGGGAGAAGAGTCGGTGGAAGAAGATTGGATAAAATTCAAAGACTATCTACAGAAATACTGTAAAATTAATGAATGTTAAAAGGACGTTGGACTGAAAATAAGTGGTGTTAGTAATAAGATTAATAAGAATATGTAAATTTGGATTGATATTGATGGAAATTATAATTTTATCTTAGTTAAAGATGTCGAATAAGGTTAAATGACAGAGGGTAAGAACTTGCTGAACTAAATATTTGAATTGGAAAACAAAAAGGGAGGTGTGAGGAGGTCAAGAAACTAGTGAACAAAATATAATATTCGGAGGTATAATTTTCCTTTTTTCTTTTTTCGGGGTGGGTCTATTAGTGTTTGTTATGACTTGGTTTATTTTCTTAACTGTTTTTTTGTTGAATATGTGTTTTGTTTTGTGTCCTTTTTATTTTGGTAATTTTCTCTGTTTTATGTATTTTATGTTTAAAACCTATTTAAAATTTGTTTATGAAACTTAATAAATATTAATTTAAAAAAAAGGAAAAATCAAAATTGGAAACAGAACTGTTGGATCCCAAAACTAAGATTTTGTCAAGGATGTATAACTTGCTGTTGAAATGGAATACTCAGGATGAAACTGTGAAATCTGCTATGATTAAATGAGCACAAGATGTTGGACATAACATTATGATGGCTGACTGGGAACAGTTATGGACCACAGGTATGAAGTTTACGGCATGTAATGCCTTAAAAGAGAATTTAATGAAAATGATGTACAGGTGGTACATGACACCAGTCAAGCTTGCAAAAATCTATCACTTGCCCGACAATAAATGTTGGAAATGTAAAGAAACTGAAGGTACATTCTTTCACCTTTGGTGGACGTGCCCAAGGATTAAGGCTTTCTTGGAGATGATATATAATGAAATGAAAAAGGTATTTAAATATACCTTTCTGAAGAAACCAGAGGCCTTTCTCCTGGGCATGGTCGGCCAATTGGTGTCAAAGAAGGATAGAACTTTCTTTATGTATGCTACAACAGCAGCAAGAATACTCATTGCAAAGTACAGGAAGACACAAGATCTACCCACTCTGGAAGAATGGCAGATGAAGGTGATGGACTATATGGAAATGGCAGAAATGACTGGCAGAATCCGAGACCAGGGAGAAGAGTCGGTGGAAGAAGATTGGAAAAAGTTTAAAGACTATTTACAGAAATATTGTAAAATTAATGAATGTTACAATGATGTTGGATAGAAATTAAGAGGTTTTTAGCTGTAATACTATAAGGGAATATGAAAAATGGATTACTAATAGGTAAAAATTTAATGTCACAATATTTTAAGATTAAAAACTAGGATAAACAAAGAGGGGAAGGATTTGCTGAACTAACAAACTGAACTGGAATACAAAAAAGGGAGGCGCGAGAAGGTCCGGGAAACAAGCTAATGAAAAATAAGTAATGGAAAGATTGAGTTGTTTTTAACTATTTTTATTTTGTGTTTTCTTTTTTTTCCTTTTTCATTTTGTAATATCTTGAAAATTTTAAGAAATATCTTTTTTTTAAAAAAAGAGAGAAGAGATAGAAGAACCAGTTTAAGGCAGCTGTATCCAGCTTCTCGGAAGGAATAACCAAAACAAGAACCTTCTTTCCCACAGAGAAGAAAAACTTCCAGTAACTTCTAGAATCAATCAGAACAGGAAAAATCTCTACCCATCAGATCAATACTTTCTGCACTAAGAAATGCAAACTGACAGTTACAATGGTTACAGTGAAGTGAAGATCTCCTGGCTGGCTAGACTGAGCTGGCATTTGGGTGGCCAGTGTAAGAACAGAATGCTGGATCCACCCTTGGCCTGATTCAGAAGGGCTCTTCTTAAGTCCTTATCCTGTGACCACGGTGTGCACCAGGCATGCCAACCCTGTGAGCCATGGAGTGGTCATCAGACCCACATCCACAAGATTCTTTAAGGGAATCCCACTTTCAGGGATGCCTGATGTGGAACCTGGCCCAGTACCTTCTCCGCCAGTAGATCCAAAAGAAGTCATGGAAATACATTTAGGATCAAATTATGCAACTGTATAAGCAGAACAGCAGCATTGCTATGAGGAAGCTGAAAACCCTGTGCTGCAAAGCCCAGTCGCAATTACGAGGAAAATTGCTTGCCAACCAATATTAATCCATAGCAAGGCAGTTAAGTCTAGAATTAGAGGAAGGGAGAGAAGCCCGAGGTGTCTGTCAATTGGAATTTCTACTCAATAGTGATCCAGTGTAGATTCCAATGTATAGTTAGTAGATTCCAATGCATAGTTAGTAGATTCCAATGTATAGTTCACATATGGGTTTCAAAACATGGCCTTGGAAGCAAAACCCTCCACAACTTAAGACTGATAGAGGAAGACATCATTTGATGCTGGTTCAACATCAAAGTAAAACACTCTTGGGTGGAAGGTCCAAGCCACATCTTTTTCCAGCTGCAATGAGTTAGGCTGCAAAAAAGGTTATAGTGGATGCTGTTTTGCCACTCATCCAATGCTTAGCCTAGTATGCATTCAGGAAGATGATAATCCAGACACTCTTGTGCTCAGATGACAGTGAGGAGAGCTGGTGTCCAAAAGTTTGTTGACTTGAAGGGTGGAGACGATGACACTCTGGGAGATCTTTCTGTACATCTGATGAAGACAGCTCCCATCCACCCCAGTGCTTTGTCACAGTTGGAGCTGAAAGGTTGGTTTGACAGGGAAGTCTCATGGGGTCTTTACAGCGGAAATCAAGAAGTTCATTCACGAATCGATGCAACTTCCAGGGTGACTCTGTCATGCCCAGTCTGTAGTAAGGTGTGTGGAACTGTTGAGGTTTGTGAGAAACTGCAGCTTTGAAGGGGACAATTAGTGAGTTGGCAAGAAGCCAAGTTAAACAAGAGTACATGAGAAAGTCTGCTTGGAAATAGGAAAGCCTAGCAACAGGTGGTGACTGGCTGAAAAATTTCCCTTATAAGCAGCATAACACAGTAGTTTGGTGTTGGAGTTCAGAGGTTGGTGTGTAGCGTTGGAATCGAGTCTATGTATATAGTAACTTGTACAAAGCTGTGCTATACTCTGTATATAATAAAAGCAAATACAAATCAAGTTACTGTTCAGCATGTTATGTTCCTGAGTCGTCATCTTGGACTACAGGGACTAAGCAGCCGGTAGCAGAGAGTTTTGGTTGAGATCCATCAACTCACAGAGGCAACAGGCAGGTTGTATAGACAGGAGGAGCTGGAGAGCTACATCAGAGCGGATGTGGCCAAATAACAAATCAAAGCAAGACTTGATGAAACTTGTAGCTGAAATTTCTTACTAACTGATGTCATTACTTTCTAATGTTGTTTTATGATTACAAGGTAATGTTGTGTGCCTAGTAGGATATGTTTTATGCAGAGAAAGTAAGTTTTTTATAGCATGGCCTGACATTTTCAGAAGGTAAAATTAAAATTCTTTGGTTTTCTGGGGGGAGTTCATGTTCTTTTTGATCAATCAAAATATTGTCCAATCACAGAAATAATAGATTTGAATTCCTCTCATCCCAAAACATATTTGTAAGAAATTTGCAAAAAAGTTTCATCCCCTAAAACGACATGCCCTTGTAGGGTGCTCAAGTTGCTAAGGGTGAGCTTGGGAAAAACCTGTAACTCCCAAAACAAGATAATGCACACGGGAAACAGCAGTGAGGGTTTCAAGTTGTAGGTAGGGGAAGGGTGTGGCTCTGAGTCCAAAGAGAGGGACAGCAAATGGCCAACTGGCTGGTTTGCTTGCCTGCTGCAAGTGTTTCTGGAGAGAGGGAGGTCAAGTGGGTGGGAACAGATGGCATTCCTGCATTCCAGGGAATTGGACTAGATGACCCTTCAGATCCCTTCTAACTCTGCAATTCTATGATAGGGCTCCAAAAATAGGGCTTCCAGTTGCTGGAAATGTCACCTGCTGCAGTAACCTGGAGGCTTTTTAATCACATGGAAACTCAATCCTGGGTTTTGAAAAGCTAAAATGCAGGGTGTTCTGTTCAAATAATCTCCCATGTCTCATCAGCATAGGAAGCTGCTTCATACTGAATGATAGGCAGCAGCAGTTCTCCAGAATTTCAGGCCAGGAGCCTCTCCCAATCCTATCTGGAAATGCCATCAGGGATTGAACCTGGGACCTTCTGCTTGCAAGGCAGATGCTCTACCCACTGACCTATGGCTCTTCCCCAAAGACCAGCCAGATCACCCACTGGAGCTCCCAGGATGGGGCCTCAGACACAGGGCAGTTGGGTATCCTTTGATAACAGGCCACCAGCCACACCCAGGAAAGGGTCTCCCTTTCTGCTGCTCCCTCCCCTTGGTGGTGCAAGGAGGGGGACCCAGGGCTGCTCTGAGCAAGGTAGATGATCTGGGGGGAATTGGGATGTGTAGGGGGAGCTGCTGAAAATGGCAACCCCTCCCCCAAGGCTATTCTTTGTCACCAGTGGTTGTTCCTCTTATGCTGAACAGCAACTTCAGGTAGGGGGGCTGGATTTGGGTCAGTATAAGAGCATGGGGCAAGGATGAACTACCCTGCCCTATGGTCCCAATCCTGATCACACCTTCCTCCTGTTGCTTTTTTAGGAAGGAAGGAAGGAAGGAAGGAAGGGTAACACATCAAGCTCTAAATTGAACAAAAGGCATGGTTTAGCACCCAAGAAAAGAAGAAATGGTGGGGGGATATGGTTGAGGTTTACAAAAATCTTGCATTTTTCTGAAGAAAGTGGACAGAGAGGATTTCCTCTCATCGGAACTGAGGGATCCCCCCCCCCCGGAACTGATTGGCCTCCTGATTCAGGACAAAGAAAATGGAAGGCTCCACACAATGGCAGAAATTTGCAGTGTCTCTTGCTGGTCACTCTAGTAAAGTTCTTGGCTGGATGGATTCTTCTTAGGTTCTTCTATCTTGGCAAGTCCCTTTGCAAGAGAGAGTCCTCCAGATGGAGGCAGCAACCAAGAGTTTGTTTCCAAGTGCCCTTGCTGTCTGGGCATGGAGTGCAGGTAGATATCCAGGCCAATCGTGATTGGATAAGAACAACAGGCAGTGGTTTCTCAGGAATATGGTGATCAAGTTGTTAAGGGTGCGATGGAGCAAAACCTGTAACTCAAAAAACAAGATGGTATATGTGGTGGGTATTGCAAATGTGGGTGTGGTGGGTCTGAGCCCAAAGGCTCTGGTGGCAAACTGTCAACTTAGTAGCATCCAAGGAGTCATCAGTGCTTCTGGAGAGGGTGAGTTGGTGTGTGCAGGTTGTAGCAATGTGATCTATTGAAATCAAATTAAAACTTTAGCACAAGGCTTAATTAAAACAGCCTCTGCAACCTCACAGCGTCACTGTGGAGGGCGCCACCTAACTGGATGAGTTTTGCCCATTTAATGGGACAGGAAATACATCCTAGGTCATGTGTGGGCATGCTCCTCTCCCTGGGCAACTGGACAGAGTTTGACTTTGTCCCTAGAAGGGGGTACTTGCCCTGGTTCTGGGGAAATGTTGCCAAACATTCATATGCTTGTGGCAAATGGATCATTCTGGCAGTGAACAACTGCAGGCAAAATGCAAGAAATAAATAAAAATGAAGCATGTCAGGGGAGACCCCCAGGGAGATGTTTTGGGGTTTTTGGGGGGTTTTTTAACAGCCAACAGTATTCCCATTTTTAAATAAACATGCAGGCACCCCATGGATAATATTCAGCCTCAGAGCTTGGAAAGGATTATTTCATGACTGCTGTGCTATATCACTGGCTCTGATGTAGTGCTAAACCATGGGTTAGTATTATGGGAGTGAGCCTTGGACTTGCCCTGCGGTGGCCCTGTCCTCATTAACAAAAAAGAGAAACTGCATCACTAAAACAGAGGACACAAACTGATATATAACTGCTTATTTACATGTATGTATGTATGTATGTATGGTCAAAAATGTGGAAATAATTGTAACGCTTTATATACAACTAGAATTTCGCCTCAGTCTGGATGGCTATGACCAGGTGATCTAGCTGCCTCCCAGGTCTACTACTAAGGCTTTCCTGCTCTAACTTTTTAAGGTTCTTTATCTACAAAATAGACTTGAACAAGACAGTCTCTGTAAATGAGAGAACATGGCAACCCTTGGTAGCATAATACCCCCCATAACTTCTAAAAAGAAAGATTGAAAACATCTTTTGAACTAACCACAGTTTCCTGTGATGTCAGAGCTTGGAAAACTGGGGTTTGTTCTAACTACATTTAGTTAACTGACTAGGATATAAAAGTATCATACTTTGAACAAATGATAGTTCAGATGTCACAGGAACCTGCTTTTTGTGTGTAAAGAAGTAGGAGAGAAGGGAATGTGGAAGGCTGATTTCATTTGAAATCGTGGTGATGCTGAACTTAGCATATACTGAAGATGCTTCTAATTGATTTTCACTATCAGTGCAAACCAGAATGGATTGGTTTAAATCAAGGTGATTTAAATAATCTGTTTAAACCATGATTTAAATGACAAAGAAAATGTAAATTTAAATCATATATCTGAATCAGTTCTCTCAATGTATCTCCTGAGCAACCATGAAACCTAAGTGCTTGCTTTAATAATGAGAACATATTGGTTTGCAGCTAATTGGAGCCTTTTAGCAACCAAATAGTGTAATTCAAAGCCTTTGTCCATGCAGCCCATGTGACTTTTGCACTGCAGAATTATGTCTAATTCTACATGTACACATGCAATAATATGAAACAAGATCAAGAGGAGGCCCACTTCTTTGCATCCATTGCATCTCAAATGTTTCTTTCACATGAGGTGTTTATAGAATTATGCATGGCATGGAGAAACTGGCTACAGAAAAGTGTTTCTCCCTTTCCCATAACACAGGAGGTTAGAATGTTGGACAATTCAGGACAGATAAAAGGAAGAACCTCTTCAAGCAGTGCTTAGACATACTGTGGAACTTGCTACCACAGAAGACAATGATGGCTACCAACGTGGGTGGCTCTAAAAGAGGACTGGGTGAATTCACAGCGGATACGTCTATCTACTAGCCATGATGGATATGTTCTGCCTCTGTGGCTGGAAGCATTGTTGCTTCTGAATCCCAACTGCTGGAAGCCACAGGAAGGGAAGAGAGCTGTAGTGCTTCCATTCAGCTTGCAGTCATCTGGTTGGCTACAGTCAGAACAGGAGGCTGGACTATGTTTGTTGCTGGCCTGATCCTGCAGGTTCATCTTGTGTTCTTATGTCTGGGATCTGTTGACTTCTTCTTCAGGCCAGGAGTGCCAACTTGCATAAAATATTGGGGGGGGGGGCAAGTAAGCCCACCCCACATAACTGATCACATGACTCAGTGCACACACAACTTGGGGGCAAGCCCCCTCAAATATTTTATTAGGGGGCCAAAAGGGCCTCGGCTCCTAGGAGTTGGCTCCTATGCTCCAGGCAATGGAATGTTAGACCCTCCAGAATCACATTGTGATTTGTTTTCAAGGCACTTTGAGGGCAAAGCGGATCAGTTTCAGTTGATGCCTCTTGATGGCATTGGGCAAGCTGCTTGTAATGAAGCGGCCACCCATGTGTTCTCTCAGTGCCTTTCCCTCCTAGATGACTGAAGCCTGCCATGGGGATATGACTGGTGGAACCAGCATGTGGCAGTGGATCCTTGTGTGAAGGCATGCTCCCAACCTTCTGGAAGGAAGCAGTGACTTGACCACACCTGAAGAATCCGATCCCGGTGGATCCATTGGTTTCTGACAACTACTGTCTGGTCACCAAGACCCCCTTTCTTGGGAAAGCGATGCAGAGGGTTGCCATGCATCCTCAGTCTTCTCCGATAAAGAAAACAATGCCCGACCTGAAGAATTTGGAGCAAATGATTCAGCAGAGGAAACACAGCCCAGAATAACTAAGGAGATAGTACAAGAATACTTGGCTAGTTTAGATGTATTCAAGTCTCCAGGGCCAGATGAACTGCATCCAAGAGTATTAAAAGAACTGGCAGATGTGATCTCAGAACCACTGGCAGTCATCTTTGAGAATTCCTGGAGAACAGGCGAAGTCCCGGCAGACTGGAGGAGGGCAAATGTTGTCCCTATTTTCAAAAAGGGGGAAAGAGAGGACCCAAATAATTACCGCCCAGTCAGTCTGACATCAATACCAGGGAAGATTCTGGAGCAGATCATTAAGCAAACAGTCTGTGAGCACCTAGAAAGGAATGCTGTGATCACCAATAGTCAGCATGGATTTCTGAAAAATAAGTCATGTCAGACTAACCTGATCTCGTTTTTTGACAGAATTACAAGCCTGGTAGATGAAGGGAACGCAGTGGATGTAGCCTACCTTGATTTCAGCAAGGCATTCGACAAGGTGCCCCATGATATTCTTGGAAAGAAACTGGTAAAATGCGGTCTTGATTATGCTACCACTCAGTGGATTTGTAACTAGCTGACTGACCGAACCCAAAGGGTGCTCATCAATGGTTCCTCTTCATCCTGGAGAAGAGTGACTAGTGGGGTGCCACAGGGTTCTGTCTTGGGCCCGGTCTTATTCAACATCTTTATCAACGACTTGGATGATGGACTCAAGGGCATCCTGATCAAATTTGCAGATGACACCAAACTGGGAGGGGTGGCTAACACCCCAGAGGACAGGATCACACTTCAAAACGACCTTGACAGATTAGAGAACTGGGCCAAAACAAACAAGATGAATTTTAACAGGGAGAAATGTAAAGTATTGCACTTGGGCAAAAAAAATGAGAGGCACCAATACAAGATGGGGGACACCTGGCTTGAGAGCAGTACATGTGAAAAGGATCTAGGAGTCTTGGTTGACCACAAACTTGACATGAGCCAACAGTGTGACGCGGCAGCTAAAAAAGCCAATGCAATTCTGGGCTGCATCAATAGGAGTATAGCATCTAGATCAAGGGAAGTAATAGTGCCACTGTATTCTGCTCTGGTCAGACCTCACCTGGAGTACTGTGTCCAGTTCTGGGCACCACAGTTCAAGAAGGACACTGACAAACTGGAACGTGTCCAGAGGAGGGCAACCAAAATGGTCAAAGGCCTGGAAACGATGCCTTCTGAGGAACGGCTAAGGGAGCTGGGCATGTTTAGCCTGGAGAAGAGGAGGTTGAGGGGTGATATGATAGCCATGTTCAAATATATAAAAGGATGTCACATAGAGGAGGGAGAAAGGTTGTTTTCTGCTGCTCCAGAGAAGCGGACACGGAGCAATGGATCCAAACTACAAGAAAGAAGATTCCACCTAAACATTAGGAAGAACTTCCTGACAGTAAGAGCTGTTCGACAGTGGAATTTGCTGCCAAGGAGTGTGGTGGAGTCTCCTTCTTTGGAGGTCTTTAAGCAGAGGCTTGACAACCATATGTCAGGAGTGCTCTGATGGTGTTTCCTGCTTGGCAGGGGGTTGGACTCGATGGCCCTTGTGGTCTCTTCCAACTCTATCGATTCTATGATTCTAATGGTCAGGGTGTTGGAGGGGGATTTCCAGCCGGTGGCAGAGGACAGAGTGACTCCAGGAGACATAGGTGTAAAAACCCAAACTAAAACGAAGACTTTATTACTAA